TCTTGGCCCAGGCGTCCCAGCAGGGCTCCCCCCCCATGTGTGCCGCCCCCGCTCTGTGCCCCCTGCAACTGGCTCCCCTCTGTGACCCTGTTACCCCCCCAGCACCTCCCCCCTCCCCTGGGCTGCGCTCACATTATGGGGCTTGCAGCATTTTCCGGGTGGGTCCAGGCCAGGCCAGACAGAGCCGGCTTCCCCCCCGGGCAGTCACAGGGCAGCACTGCCCCAAGGGCTGCACGTCTCCCCGTGCAAACACCCCCCCACACAAAACAGGGCAACGCCTGGCTGGGCTTTGGCGTCACCGTGACCCATTCTGCGTTTCGGGCTGTGCTCCGCGTTCCCCTCCTGTAGCTGTTTCCTGAGTAACCGCCGGACTTCTCCTGGGCACCCGCATCTGGAACACACCTCCCCTCCGCAGCACTGCCCCAAGGGCTGCACGTCTCCCCGTGCAAACACCCCCCCACACAAAACAGGGCAACGCCTGGCTGGGCTTTGGCGTCACCGTGACCCATTCTGCGTTTCGGGCTGTGCTCCGCGTTCCCCTCCTGTAGCTGTTTCCTGAGTAACCGCCGGACTTCTCCTGGGCACCCGCATCTGGAACACACCTCCCCTCCCTTCCCCTGGCCCGGGCTAGAGCAGCAAGCATCCCCAGGGGTACACATGGGTCCCGCTCAAGAGATGGAGGAGCGCCAGGTGAGAGGAGGGGTCCAAGGGACCCCTAGACTAAGGGGACAGTGCCAGGGCAAGGTCTGGTCAGCTGGTTAGTTAAGCTCACTTTGCAAGACTTTGCAAAACACCTAGAGAAGGCCGTGGGCCTCCTCTTCCAGTCAGCTGGGCTCAGCAGCCACCACCGCATGAGAAAGCTACTGCAGTGAAACCACAGGGAACTCACTATAGCACTTAAAAACACTGAGCATTTCCTGACTCAGCCTAGTGGAAGCTCCCCAGGGCCCTGATATGAGACATCTGGTCTCCAGAGCTGAGTCTTGTCTCCTTCCCCTGCCCGCCCCGGGGTTTGTCCCAGGCTTCCTCTCCC